AAGGCTTCTCAGATCCTCTTCAATTCATTCTCCTGTTCGTCGGTGGCTGGAAACTTACAAACAAACCATTCAAGGCCATGTGTCCTTTTAGAAAAGGGAGTCATGATCGCGCTGAAATGATATCATTTGGTGAACATTAGGAAGTAAGTGAAAATGCATCTCAATCTGACATGTCTTATCAGTCGGGGTCAAAAGGTTCAGTTGAACGCCTTCAATGTGTCTTCCACTAATAACGACGTCATTGTCATCAAGTTTTTTGACATCAAGAGAAATTTCAGATGTGGCATTAAGCCATAGTTGAAGTAGCCAAAACGGTCTAGCTAGCTGTAAACCGTCTTTGGTTTTGATATTCCTTAAAGCTTCGGTAGCTTCTCCTAGGGATTCATAAGCAACATGGCTTTGATTTCCATGAGACCTTTTCCTCTATGGTCAAACTCATCACAATAAGGATTGTTCTTACATTGGCCATCTCATGCAAATGGGAAATACAACAAGAAGATGTGAATAATGAATAATGCATTCTTGAATGGTGATTTGAAAGAGGAGGTGTACATGCAAAAGTCTCCAGGGTTTCTTGATACGGGCGAAACCTTAGTATGCAAACTCAATAAGGCAATTTATGGACTAAAACAGGTGATCAATGGTTTTTATACAATATTTTACCATTAGTTTTAGTTAATTATCTTATACGTTTAATTGTATTTTATTTCCTTTTATCACATTTTATGCATTGGTTTGGTATTTCCATTGGTTTTAGGTTCAGGTAAGCAACCAAGAAGAACCACAGCAAAAACCGAGAAAAATAGCAGGAATTCGGAAGAGTTTTTGAAGGGAAACAGTGGCCTGACACGGCTACCCGTGTCACTTGACACGGTCCATGTCAGGAGGATGCAAAGAGATGAAATTGTGTAGAAACGCAGTAGGATGACACGGGTGCTTGTGTCACCTGACACAGCCCGTGTCAACAAGTCTGGAGTAAACCGTGTTTTCATCAGACATCCAGGGGGCCAACACAGCCGCCCATGTCAGCTGACACAGTCCGTGTTAGCTGAAGCGCTTCATCTTCTAATTTTCTTGTTTTTGTGACCTTTGTGATCCCTAAGGGTATTTTGGGTATTTTCCTATTGCTGTGTTGGACCTGGGAGTATTTAAGACGTGTTTTGAGAAGGAAAATGGACTTTTTTTTTCCATAGAAGAATTACACAATCAATATTGAAGAGATCAAGTTGATTGGGGACTGAAGGTTTTCATGAGCAGAAGCAATTGAAGATCAAAGAAACCTATTATCTTGTAATGTCTAGTTTTTACTTTGTATTTTCTTCGAATAATATGAGTAGTTCCCAATGCTATGGGGTGTCCCTGATTTGAATATGTAATGACTCTGATATTAGTATTGCAATAATAATTCCTTTGTTTTCATAGCTGATTTGATCTCTAGTTATTCTTAATGCTTGCCCTGTCGGATCAACAGGGTTTGATTTTTGAGTAACGATTAGGCTGGATCGTCGTTGTTAATGCTTTACTTTTGATCATTCTGTAGTAGATATCACCTAGGACTAGGGATACCCTATAGGAACTGGAATATTCTTGATACTTGATTGCTTAATTTCATTTATAATTCTCTATGGACATAGGAATTAGGGTGGATGATTAAATGTTTTCTCACTAAAGACTTAGGAGTAAACAATCTAAAGAATTGGTAATTAGTTAGTTACAATAAGTTATTGCAGTGTTAATTCAGAGTTGTTACTGATTCGGATCACACACTTTCCCTAGCATGTTACTCATATATGTTTAAACCACTTAGTTAATTTCTCTCTTTTACTTGCAAATATTTTTATAATTAAACCAAAAAATCTCAAAACCCTAAGTGCTTTTGTTCAACTAAATTACTATCGAACTTGTATTTCCTACGCAACCCTTAAGATCGATATTCGGGGAAATCCCCTCTTATTACTACATTGGCAAAATAGTACACTTGCTATTTTATCGATCAGCAGGCTCCACATGTCTCGTATGAAAAACTCCATCAATTTTTTCTCCAGTTTGGATTTTTCTCGAGCCAATGTGATCACTCACTTTTCATCTATCATCATCAAAATGTCATCATGTATACTTTGGTATATATGGATGATATTTTAATCACATGATCATCCTCTTTATTGCTACATAAACTCATTGGCAAACTGCGTACTATATTTGCACTCAAAAAGCTTGGCACACCAAAGTACTTTCTAGGCATTGAGGTTCATCATCAATCAGCTAGAGTCATTATCCTCACTCAAACCAAGTACATTAAAGACATGTTGTCCGAGGTGAATATGTCAGAAGTCAACACATCCATGTTTAGTACGTGCAAACTGAGTAAACACGGGGATGACACGATGCCAGATCCATTCCTCTACAGATCCACAATTAGTGCACTCCAATATGTCACATTAACGCAGCCAGACATTGCCTTCTCAGTGAACAAAGCTTGCCAATACATGGTTGCCCCACTTGACTCACACTGGAGTGTAGTAAAATGGATCCTCCGCTATCTGAGTGGCACACGACATCATGGACTCATTTTGAATCCAACATCCAATCACACAACATTCATTCTTCGTGCCTACATCGACTCTGATTGGGATAGTGATTCTAATGACCAGAGGTCTACCTCAGAATCTTGTGTTTTCCTTGGTCCTAATCTTGTAGCCTGGAGATCAAAGAAGCGGTCTCTTTTAGCCTAGTCAAGTGTAGAAGCAGAATATCGCACGATAGCTCATGCCACATCCGAATTCTTGTGGATTGAATCACTACTTCGTGAGCTATCCATTCCCTATCTTTCTCTCCAACTCTCTTATGTGACAACATGAATGTTGTAATGTTGTCACATAATCCTATACTACATGCTCGAACAAAACATATTGAGCTTGATATTCACTTCGCTAGTGAACGTGTTATGGCTAGTGAAAGTGTATGATAAGTTTGTTAGGGTGCATGCTAAGGTAGTTAGAGTGTGCATGAAGTTAGTTAAAGTGTAACTAACTCCATCCTTGTATATACACTAGCCATAACCTTTTGTATAATGAGAACTATCATATATGAATCAAGCAAACTTTGATCTTCTCGATCTATGTTCATAATCTCTTCCATGCACAATCATGTTCATCAATAGTAGTGGTATTCTCTCATCTAACATAGTGAAACGAAATATAAAATTTATCTTTAACCACTTGTAAAATTTAATGACTTCTCGTTTTTTTATGAGGATAGTCAAAAGTGTCTTTATATATATATATATATATATATATATATATATATATATATATATATATATATATATATATATATATATATATATATATATATATATATATATATATATATATATATATATATATATATATATATATATATATATATATATATATATATATATATATATATATATATATATATATATATATATATATATATATATATATATATATATAAAAGAATCGTGAGATGGATTGTCACATTGTACGTGACAAAGTACAAGCATGAATTCTTCATTTACAGTTGGTAACTTCTCAAAAACAATGGAATGATTTTCTTACCAAATCCTTAAATTCAATACCTTTTTCAAACCTTGCACAACCACACACGATACTTCAATTGTTAGAAAATAGTTACATTAGTTTAATTAAGTTTCATAAAGTTTACATACCGTGCATGTAACCTATCATAATTAATATGTAGTTATTCTAGAGTCTAGCATGTAAAATAGGATCATGCTAACTTGTTTCTTAAAGGATATTGAAAATAACAAAGTTTAAGATTTTAAAAAAGTCAATGCATAATTTATAAAACAAAATTTTACATTTAATTTCTTTTAATGCACACGTTAACATGTTGTGTAAACCATAATGTATACTTGTAAGCTCAAATCATTCAATAATAATGATTTAATTTCCATAAAATCTCTCTCTTAATAATAGAGACACAAAATAGATAGTTGATGCTATCATAAAATGGGGTCCACCATTATTTTATTTTATTTATTTTTGTTTATTTATTTGGGACTATTTGTCTGAATGAAAATTTTCTATTAATTTTAAGAAATATAGAGATGATACTATCGTGTCTTTAAGGTTTATTAACATGATCCAAAATTATAATGGAGATGTAGAAATCTATTTTGAACATTTAATTTAAATACAATCAGAAACCAATTAAAATTCATATAGATGATAATCAACTCAATCAAAATAAATGAATGGGTCCAAAGGCTTGTTTTCATTTATTGTCATTTTCAAAGAAATTTGAGCAGACAATTCTTTTTCGGGGGGCGACAAATTAATACCTCAAAAACTACTTGATTTAACATTTTGTTATTTAAATATGTTTTGTGATTTTAATTTTTTTTAATAAGCAATAATAACTTTAATAAAACTAAAACGAGTATAAGAGATACTCGAATTCTTTACAAAAAAACGAATTCGATAAGGCAGATTAATATAATGGATTAACAATCCACTCAGAAAACTACAAGGTTTAGAGAATCTATTCGCAAAATGTTGTCATTCCACGACAAGAATTTTATTCTCTTCCAGCTTTCCTCAAAATTCAAAATGTTAACATTAAACAAGACTCCATTACGGTCCATCCAGATTGTCCATATTGTTGCCAGCCAAATCAAGCTAACGACAAATCAGTTATTATCCTTCTTAATAGAATTGAAGTTAAGAGGCAGCATGGACAACTCATCCTCATTCAACGCAGAACTTGTTCCAAGCCAACAAGCCAAAACTTTTCATAATTTGGTGTTGAAGTCACAAGTACCGAAGACGTGATGTTTAGTTTCATCAACTTTGAAACACAAAACACAATATTTATCCCTTTCGTTTGTCAATATATTCCTCTTCATCACCTGATCTCTTGTTGGTAGCATATCGAGAATCCAACGCCAACCGAAGTGCAAAACATTCGATGGAGCCGAAATATTCCATAAAAATTTAAGCGCAGTTGAAACCTCATTCGAGATTGAATTTGGAATCTTCCTGGCTAAGTGCTTGAGGTACGCAGAATGGACAAAAAAAAAAGAAAAATTTCTCCGGCCACCACTCAAACGTATCGACCATATCATGCTCCACCGAGTTGTCCTCTTCCCAAACCATTAGGAATTCAGTTACATAAGAAGCTTCATTTGAACCTGTCAAACCAATGTTACACAGCGACCAATTCCAAGAACCGTTGATCCATTGTCCTGCCTCAGCCACAGTGCAGAGGTGATTCACTAACGATGCATACGATTCAGGAAAAGCCTTCTTCATTGTTTGATTTCCAACCCACTTGCTGAAACAAAATGGAAGTAGCTACCATCTCCCACTCTACAGACCGTATTATCAGCAAAATAATTAACGTTGTCGTTGTCAAAATAATCCACCGTCATAATGTCTCACCACCAAATAGAGTCATTATGATTGATCGCACTTGAATCGTTAATGAACATCTTCGCCTCAGGATTAGTATAACTATGCCTCAAGACACATCTCCAAATAGCTTCCCTATCGGTAACAATCCTCCACTTCCACTTCATGAGTAGCGCTTTGTTAAAGCTTTCGAGGTTGATGATGTCGAGACCTCCTTCTGCCTTTGGTTTGCATAAGTTATCCCAACTCATCCAAAAAGTTGCTCTCCTATCATCCAAGCCTCTCCAAAGGAATTTACACAAAATGCTCTTGATTTCGTCTAACACTTTACACGGTGCCTTGTAGAAAGACAGTGTGTAAATTGGAATTGCATTCAAAACAAAATTGATCAGAACGACCCTACCTCCTAAAGATAAATATCTTCCTTTTCACGAACCGGTCCTATACCGAATATTGTTGATGACCTCCTTCCATAATTTATATCTTCTAGGGTTGTTCCCCACCATAACTCCCAAATATTTGAATGGTAAAGCTTCAAATCTGCAGGAAAGGAAAGAAGAGGCAGCAACTAAAAACCAATCAGATATGTTAATGCCATAAATGCAGCTTTTGGAAAAATTAACACGAAGACCCAAAATAAATTCGAATTCTCTAAGTAAAGCCTATAAGGTCCAAATATTTTCATAATCTCCTTCCCCAATAATGACAGTATCGTCAGGAAATTGAAGAATGTCAACCGAAACCTCATCGTTGAAATTGTATCCTTTGTAAATGTTGTGAATAAGATGCTTTGGAACAAAATATAAACGGTTTTTTTATAGACAAGAAACACACAAGCGTTAGAGTTAACAAAGAAAACAAGGGAAAACAAAAAGGATTGGTTATAAACTACTATTCTTTCCTTTATCTATCAAACAAGATTACAACTATACAAGAATAACAAATAACCTCTCTCTCTTGAATTAGGATTTTATCTTCCTATTTTTCCTTATGCAAGATGAGAGACTAGCATGTTATTTATAAGAAAAATAGCACACTAACCTAATGGGATTTTTAACAATTACCCATTACAAGCTAACTTAGGGTACAAGCTAACATAAGCAATTGGGCTTACAAGCAAGGTCCAATTCAAGATGCTAACAAACCTAACAATATTGACTAATGCATGTTAGAACAAACTTTGACTACAATACGCATGTCGCTACTGCAAAAATCGGTGCCGACTAAACAGAAGAGTCGCCACCGTGCGTTATGTATCCCACGAGAGGGAAAGGAAACGCTCGAAGTAAACCTACCGCAAATACGGGAAAGGAATGGTCATCGCAACCAAATCCTGGATTCGGGAGTCGGTTACGCAAGGGGAAGGTATTAGCACCCCTCACGTCCGTCGTACTCGACGGGATCCACGCTTGTTTTCTAGTACGGATTGTTATTCTATCTACGCTAAAGGTCTGGGGTTAAAAGAAAAGAAAATGACTCGGCAAAGTATCGCACTTTATGCCTACGTATTCATTCCCGTCTGAAACGAGAAATCAGAGTCAACGTAGCTCGCCTACCTACGGGAAAGGAGAGGAAGGTTGCTCGCTAGGATATCGCATCCTATGCCTATGTACTTTCACACAGCATGAAAGATCAGAGCAAACGTAGTTCGGGCTACGGAAGATACAAGTTTGTTTGAATGTTTTTTATCTCCTTAAGAAAGGGTTTTCCTGATTAAAGGTCCAAGCGGACAAAAATGACGTTTTGATGTTTGTTTTCAGTCTTTTACGCAAAAATGACAAAAATGATGTATGTCACCCTAAGGATAGCACACTAAGTAATCAGGTTACTGAAGAGTGACCCTCCAGCAACCTTTCTCAAATAGCTTAAGGCTCGTAGCGTACGACATCGATTATCCTTATTATTGTGTTTTGAATTGTTCTGAGATGGAAGAGAAAGAAGTCTAAAAAACCTAGGGTTTGAAAGGGGAATCAAAACTACCCTAATGTTATCATGCATGGATTACAACCTAATGGCTATCATATTTCTCTCTTGCACAGAGAGAAACAAAGATCCTAGGGGATAAACGGAAAAGAAATAGCAGATATACAGTAAACAGTAAAATGCATGAGATGCAGCAAAACAAGCGAGGCAAGGGAGTCCCACTCAACCTCGAACCTGGGAAAACAATAGGCAAAGTGAAACAACTTCACTTCAAGCCTAAGGGAAAATCAACAGACAATACACCAAAGAAAATCACACCCAACACCAGCTCAGACAGCAGCAACAGCTCCTATAGCAAGCAGTTCAAACAGCACCAGCTCTGGCAGCTACAGTTGATTAACAACACAAGGTTGACAGTAATGCTTCAAGCAAAATCCCATATTCACTTTCCAATGATACCCAAGCTTCAGATAAGCTCTTACCTCCAATAATCTTCATCTTTAGCAAGCACTGAACCCCACTAAGCAAACAGTTTCAGACAACACCAAAACCCTAATCTCCAACAGATACCCAGCTTTGACAGGCACAAGCTTCATCTTCTCCCGTCATAAATGAAATTCTTACCTTCAATGGTCTTCAACTTCAATGCAGCCACTCATAGGAGAGAATCAACTAACAGATGAAGTTGGAATGTTAAGAGGCTTAATGATAACCCAGGGAAATCATTAAGATCTTATCATAGCAAATGAGAGGTATCCTCAAGGTTCTACACAATCAAAGCATGCTCTACATCCCTCCTAAGGAGAGATGGAAATTCTTTGGGGGAACCTATGTCATAGGATGGAATAGAGGCATAAGAAGCTCTCTATGTTTGACAGAAGAAATCAGTCTACTCTAGAGCTTTCCCTATATCTCCTATCTCCTAAGTCTTCAAAAGCAATCTTCAAGCACAAGCAACTTCAAGCTCCAAGCATCATTATTTGTCTTCAATCATCAAGGTCTTCATAGATTCCTCAAGCCAAGCACAAGCCCTAACACCCAAAGAAGAGGCCCAAAACCCAACAAACAACACAAGATCCCAAGAGGGAAACACACCGATATCAACCAACTTGCAAAAAATCAAATAAAATGGAAATACTCATCATAAAATCCTAGATTAATTTCTAAGGGACCCTAACTATGTACCCTATACCCCACATAAACCCCAAGGCCTAAATCAAACTAAAAACACAAAAACTATGTGTTGGAATGCACCTATGTCAAGTTGAAACCCTAATTCTAGCATACTAAAGTTCCTTATTCAAAACTAACTAAAATTAAATCACAAAAATGTGATAAAATTCCAGGGGGAACCTAATACTATAATTTAACCATAGCAAAAAGAATTACATCAAAAATAAAAGCCACATGATCATACTAAAATCAGCAAGTTGCATTATCAAACAAAAATGAAATAAAAGCAATTAATAGTAAAAATAAACCAAAAATAGAAAAATGCATGAAATGTCAATTTTATTTTTCTATAATTTTCTTGAGAGCTTTATGAAAATGAGGGAAAAAATCCCATGCAAAAATATTAATTTTCCAATTAGTTATGAATTTTCAAAGAACTTAAAATAAATGTGAAAATAGAAGAAAATATGAGAAAATGGAAAAGCTGCGTGCCCAATAGCAATCTAATGCAGTGCAATCAGCCAACTGGGCCCAAAAGGGGGTGAGTCTAGCAATGCGCCTAAGCCCAAACTTAATCAGAAATTGATATGAAAAATAGTAAGAAAATGGACAAATATGTGGTACGAATAGCAAGCAAATTCAGTGTATTCCTCAGTGGGCCTTGGAAGTGGGGTGTGGATATCATGTTTCCCACTTAAGCCCAAGCTATGTTTCCCACTTAAGCCCAAGCTGGCACTTTAAATGAAACGGTGCGTATTAGTAATCTCTTCAGACTCCTTCACAAATTTTGAATCACGCGTGGCCGTTGGATGTTGTTTTGGTCAAAGGTCTCACTCACATCCAATGGTGGTCAGGTCATCTTCTTCATTTGAACCTTGGAGGGAAATGAAGCCATGGAAGCTCAGAGCTATGATCTTCATCTTCTCCAAATCGTGCTCCCTCAAATCTTCATCAAAACTCAAAAATGAAAACCCTAACTTACTCCATTTTTCACCAGCAATTCAATCATGGTAATCAAAATCCCTGAATCACTCTCCTTCTCCAAACACGATTAGAATCTCAGAAACTGATCAAGAACCAAATCTCACCAAACATAAAATTGGATAGCCTAATCTCTTCACCACTTCACCCTGATCATTTCTAGCCATCAAACTATGATTATATCATCAAGAACAACAAGATATGAGCATGAACAGAAATTGCATCACTCCACTAATTGTCTCTAAATCAACCCTAAAGCTACCAGAAAGCTTCATACACTAACCTACATTGGATCTAACCATTCAAAGCCTGTTGAAACTACCTAAATCAAGCCATGGAGTAAAGTTTACATACCTGCAATTTTGAGATGAACAGAGTGATCAAAGCTTCAAGATAAGCTTCAATACTTTCCAGACACCTTCACCAACACCAAAGGAGGCTTTTGTATGCAAAGAGATGAATTGAAATGGCTTGGATTCTTGAATTCGATCTTGAGTTGTAGGCTGAAAATTCCAAGTGCAATCTCACAGTTCTTCAATGCTCTTGCTATGGTTTCTATCTAGAATCATCCACCAATGCTAGAGCAAGCTTCTGAGATCAAAAGAATCGATTGGAAGTGGTTGAAACTTGTAACTGAATTCTGTTTTGCCAATGGAAGATTGAAAATGCAATTTCACAAATCTCTCTCACTTCTCTCCAACTCTTGCTCTAAATCACTTCTAATGCATATATAGACTGTGTTTGAAGACTCTAGAAAGTTCTAGATTGATCCAATGAGAAATTCACCATCTCATGTCGTGAAAATCTCATCTCATGCTTGGTTCATATCAGCTCATGTTTTAGCTTGTATTTGCACTCAATTCTGATCCAAATTGTCTTCTAATGAGATATTGGATGTGTTAGGATGGAAGGGAGCCTTGCATTTGCCTTGAAGTGTGGTTTTGCAATTGTGCCTTATGATGCAAGTAACCAATTTACAAAGCAAGTCATTGAAATAAACCTCAATTGAAAATTTTGGCAATGTCAATGTTCTCAAAATGAATTTTACAATCAAATTGGTATGTCATATGGCTTGGTTTGGATTTGTAGATCAAAAACCCCAATTTTCAACTTTGGTTTATTTAAAATTCACTTTCATTTTAGGCCATTTTGGTGACTTTGCGAAGAAAGCCAT